GCCCCTACCGTAGAATCCTCTTCGACGACGTCGTGCGTACCCCCTCCTCTCTTCTCCCCCCCCCCTTCTCCTTTTCCCTCTGCCCCTCCCGCTCTCTCGTCTTCTACTGCGCCGTCCGTCCGCTCGGCGCGCTCCCGCGCCAGCGAGTTTGCACGCGCGCTTTCCACCGACGTCGAACTCGCCGGCCGGTGCTCTTCTCGCTCGTTCCACTTTGCTGCCTGCCCCTCCTCTTTGCTCTGCGCTTTCCCGCGCTCGATCCTCTTCCACGGCGTCTCCTACAGCGACCTCTTCGGCACCTGCGCTCCCCTCTTCTCCCTCTCAATGCTGCCGTGCGGACGGTCTCTCCTCCGCCATCGCTGCCCTCACCGCGCACTGGGTGCGCCGAAGCAATGGCGCTGCCAGAGCCCGGCTGCAAGCGAAACCGGCCCCCGCACCGCCGACAGACTATCGGACCCGCCGGTTGCCGCATGCCACCCCGACCATTGAATTTTCCTTTTATAAATACATTAAAAAAAAGGCTAAATTCAATTGCCTGTCGAATCTGGACAGGACACCCTCAATGTCTGAATGGGGACGTATTTGTGGAGATGTGCGGTTGCAGAAACTAAACGTGATTTTCTGCACGTGTCCACAAATACGTCCAAATTCGGACGTTCAGGAAACTCGACGCTGGTAGTGGGACTTGCCCGCCCGGTAGCATCCTGTCCTGCGCCCACCTGCAGGTCGCGAGCAGCCCCCGCATGTTCTCTCGTGAACACCTTTCTGGGCCTTCTGGCTGCTACGGGGCTTCCCGTATGCCTATAATTAGGAGTAGTAGGGGTAGGTAGGTAGTGTGAGGTGAAATTGAGAAAAAAATATCGGGCTAGACCCTTTTCTTTTTTTTTTTTTTTTGGGAAATTTTCGAAATGCCCCTGAAGTTTGCGTATATTTGTGATTTACCCCTCTGACGGCCGACTTCCCCTGATTTGCCCCTCTGACAGCCATTCAAGTTTCCAAAAAACCCCTGGCGTCGTCTGGGCCTGAGACATTTTCAATATGCCCCTACCGGTACCCGCGCCAAATTTCCAGTTTGCCCCTATCGGATAGCCGTTCAGTACAGGCACAAGAATTTTCCATATGCCCCTACCGGTACCGTACATCTCTTAGGTATGCCCTTCTGGTCGTTGCTGGCAGTAGCGGCTGTTCCCCTGGCCCTGGGAGGCTGGGAGATGTGCTACCCGGGCTTGTGTGTTGTCATATTCGCTATACACTCAAAAAAGTCATGACTGTGCCAGACTGTAGGTTGTGTGTGT